CTTCTCTGGAGACGTCAACATAATTTTTAAGGTCCTACAATCTAAAACCCATATTGGGAGCAGAAATTAAGCAAGTTTAGTACTGAAGGCCTGTTATGTCCCAGACACTATGCCAGCCACAGGACATACCGTAGTGAACAAGACACATAAATCTTATCTCGACGGTGCTTTCAGAACTGCCAAGAATCATGCCAGCTAACGTTTTCATGGCATTTCCTCTGTGTTCCAGAAGGCATCATTCAAGTGTATTGATTTATGTTTTATAGGACATTGAGCCTATTACTGTCCCCATTTGATTGATAAGGAAACTGAGGCACAGAGACGCAACTACGTGTCACAGCCAGGACTGGCATCCAACTTTACCTAAGTAATTCCTAGTGTTGCCAAGTACTGCAGAAGGGCGCAGGAAGGTGCTGGGGAGCTCTTGCTGATAGGATTTCAGCTAATCCAGGGGCTCAGGTGGGGGAGGAGTTAGGGTGGGACTGACTCAGGCAAAGGCTGTCCTTTTCTATTGTATCCACGTGCCACGGAGCGGGAGTCCAAGGACCCAAATCAGCAGGAGACAATCAGTGTCTGACAGGCATCTTTTAAAAAAAATCATTGGGTTTGGCTATCTTTAGGCTGAGCAGCTCTCTCTAGTTTGCTGTCTTATGCTCCGTTCACTTTCTTCATCTCCACTTAGCTACCTTATGGCTTGACCCCTGTGAGTTTGTTATCCTGATCTTTTCTGGGCTCCACTTCATTTTAATCAGTACACTCTTGATTGCAGGTGACAAAACCTGATAAAGCTTGACCTTACAGACAAAGGAAAATTTACTGATAGGCTCCAGGCTCTTCTTACATAACTACAGGAAAGGCAGGATTGACAGCCTCAGGGACAGTTGGACCCTGAATCCTGGTGCTGCCAGAGGTATCTGGATGTCTCTTTGACTTCTCCCGCAGATTGCTTCCTCAGCTTATTGGGAGTGTGGCCACCAAAAGCTCCTAAGCCTCTGGGCCAGAAAGGGGCTACCTCTCTTCCCTTGAGTCCACTTTGGAAAATCCACAGGATGTTCTTACGTAGTTCAAATGTCTACCTTTGGACCAATTAATTTGGCTGGAAAGACCAGGCATGTTGATTATCCAACTTTGGGATAGAAGTCAACCAGCTTTGGTGATTGTAAACTGGGCATCCCCATTATCTTTTATATAGAATATTCCCCCATTATCTATTATATAGAATATTCCCAGTGTTGCTTTTTATGTCCACTGCTCGAAAGCTCCTTCTCTTGATCAGAGTAATTTGCTTGGCCCACAAAGCATTTTCTTTCAGGAGCTTATAGTGCTGTGCTGGTGATTATAACATAACGCACACAGAGTGTGTTCTGTTGGTTTGCTCCACAAAATGGATCTTTCCCCACTCCTTCCTCAGCCTTCTTATTTAGGGGTCTCCTGTGCAAAGTCAACACTTTAGAATGTCCCAGAACCTCAGCTTTGAAGGCACTAAGAACTCCCTCGGTGCAGTAGTTGGAAGATTAGCAAGTTCCAAATTTATGTTTAAACACAAAACACGGAAGAAAGTGACGCACCCCAGGTCACTGTGGTGGCTAGTGCCATGAATTTTTTTTTGCTTGCCCAAGCTCAAAATAAGCTGACATGACTTGTTCTGACTTAATGTTGTATCTAAAAATGGAATCACTATGTTGAGGCAGGCTCCTAAGAATCTCATGCGTGTCGTTTGGAGGAGGTGAACAGCACTTTGCCTTTCCCTTGTGGCTTGTCCTCGGTTAAGAGCAGGGGCTCTGCACACAATACGTCTGGATTAAGTTCTGGTTCAGCATATGCTTTAGCCTCTCATGCCCCAGTTAACTCTGCAATGACTCTTAAACCATAGCTCTGTTGTGTACATCGGCATCTGAAATGGGGATGGTATCTAGCTCAGTAATTGGCACAGTCAGTGCTCAGTAAGCTTTAGCTGTCATCATCGTCATCATGCACTGGCCCGGTCCCTTGGCCCAGAGGTTTAAGGGTAATCGTATAAGAAATGGGACAGGGGCCACCTGGGTGGCTCAGTCGAGTTAAGCGTCTGCCTTTGATTCAGGTCGTGATCTCAGGGTCCTGGGATTGAGTTCCGCATCGAGCTCTCTGCAAAGCAGGGAGTCTGCTTCTCCCTCTCACTCTCCCTCTATGCTCATGCTCTCTCTCTCTCTCAAATAAGTAAATCCTTTTAAAAAAAGAAATGTTAGACCAGATGCTTTTCAGAGCTCTGATTTCCTCATCTCATCCTTCCACATTTTGAGGACAAGAGAAAGGGAAGGAAACTGTCACTCCTCAGGCACCTGCTATCTGCCACACACCTTCCTACAGATAACATTTGGTTATAATTCAAGGTTTCCATAGCTGTTCTCTGCTATCTGTCGCACCAGATATGTAAATGTCACGAGCACAAGGCTCGGTTAGTCGTCTTCCTTGCTGGCATGGAGTAGATCCTCTGTAAGCATGTGTTGAATTCAACTTTGCTGGCAACCCCTTATTTAGGTAGCTGTTATTGTATTCTTACTGTTGCTAAAAATGAAGGTTTCCTAGCACTACTGCTGCTAATAAGTGGTGGAACCAGTCTGAACCCAGATTTTTCTGGCGACTATTCCAGTGCCCTTTTTATTTACAAGTGCAAATGAGGGTGAATTCAACCAATTAGTAGTAGCTCTGTGTGACATGCAAATTGGGTTTTTAAGTCTTTAACTGGGGAAGTCAGCTCCTTTGTCCCATGCTAGTTAGTCTGGGTTTAAACAAAGGTAGACTTGCAGACATGCAGTATCATTTTCAGGTAGAGGCACTGTTGCTCTTCGGAAGGCTGTTTGATCCACACTGGAAGGAGTAATACCAGTGGTTTCCATTTATAAGGCAGGTTAGAAGTTTGATTCTAAAAATTCCCCATGAGCACCATTTATTGACCTTCCCATGTCTGTGTTTTTTCAACTTTGATCCTTTTAAGTGGAAGCCACAGGATCACCTTCACTGGGCATCCTTTCTTTCACGGCTGTCTCTGACATCCACCCAGGTGCACCTAAGATTTGAGTTCCCGAACTTTGATTCATTCAGCACTGGCCCTTTATCAAGCTCACAGTCTATTCTGCCATATGTTGAAGAAACAAATAAGACAAGGTGGCTCAGGCGTTAAGCGTCTGCCTTCGGCTCGGGTCGTGATCCCAGGGTCCTGGGATCAAGCCCCACATTTGGCTCCCTGCTCCACGGGAAGCCTGCTTCGCCCTCTCCCACTCCCCCTGCTTGTGTTCCCTCTCTTGCTGTGTCTCTCTGTCAAATAAATAAATAAAACCTTAAAAAAAAAAAAAAGTCAAGTCATACTAGTATATGGGAGACAGACACATAAAAAGATACAAAACAGTGTTGCATAAATTGTAAGAAAATAACTTAGTCATGCTATGGAAGGAGCACTGCCCAGGGGCTCAGGGAAGAATTACGCATGAAGTAACTTGTGAATTCATGTCATGTAATCTGTTTAGGAGCACAATTTGGGGCCTCGGGTGGGGGGGTTGTTGGGAGGAGTTCTAGAGTGTTTGTCCAATATGGCAGAAACTGAGAGAGAATCTATATCTAAATGAGAAAGAGCTATGATCCTAAAAAATAATTGGGCAGATAAGGGAAATCACAATAACCCCGGGGACCTAGGCTGCAGGCTCAGGATATTATGTGCTGGGGTTAAATTTCTCAGGTGTAAACCAGTAGGGAATTGATGAGACAGGATGAGATTGTAACCTAATCTAATAATAATAATGAGTGGCTGGGCATGACCTGATCATTATCTCAGGGTATGTCAGTATGTTCAAAAAAGAAACCAGGGTGGGGGCGGCAAGATATCAGATAGTACTCCAGCATTCCCCAAAGGAGAAAGTGTCCTGTCCATGTAATTATTTTCACCAACTCTACAATAGAGTTAGCAATATGGGTGTATCAGAGCTGGATTCCATTTACTATCAACATCAACATCTTTATTACATATTTGTTGTATGCCAGGTACCATGCTAAGTGCTTTTCTAATATTGCCTCATTTAATCCTTACAACATATCTAGAGCATAACAACCTTTATTTTTTCCCATTTTATAAATGAGGAGACTGAGTGAGGGTTGGAGATGTCAGATAATCCGCTCAGGGTTGTAGAACTCTTGAGTCGAGGAACTAGGGTCACAAACAACTACCACTTTGCTATACGAGTCACACCTCTCATCATCTTCAGATAGCTTACCTACCTGCAGTCCGTATGTTAGACCCGAGAGGTGGTGTCTCTCAGACATTTACCACGGGCTACAGTAAGCCCATCCTTTCTCCTATCCAAATCAGTCTGTCTCCATGTTCCCTGCCTTGTCCAAGTCCAAATGCAGGAGTTCATGCCTGAGAGTCAACCATCAGATGATAATTTCCCCTGTAATTTTGCCTGTAAAGAGGGTTGGGATATGGTGGGAAGCAGACATAAGCATTCTGGTCAATTTGTTGGTGTCAATAAACCACCCTTTAGGTATGCATTGGTTCCCTGTGTGATTTTGGTAGTTTATTTCTCTCTAAAATCTGGACTCTGCACTTTTCCGTGGGATTCAGGACTAACTTAACTCTGTATCTTCCAGTGTCTTTAGTGACTTTGAGGGAAAAAACGTTCTAATATCAGAGTTCAAACCCTGAAAGAACTAAATATTCAGTATAAATACAGATTCAGAGATTACTGGAATGGCAAAAGAAGAAAAAACTCCAGCTGAAGTGACCATCAGTGGGTATCTGATAGGTTTAAAGCCTGATAGATCTGAAAGGGCCCAAAAGAAGCATTTGGAAATGACAAGGCTGCATTCATTAATGGGAGGGACTTGGTTCAGACGGATGAACAGAACTTTTATGACTGGTGCTTTGGTCATTTTTGTAATAGAGCCAAAGTCCCATGGTGTTTGCTAAAGCTGAAGAGAGCACTTGAGCCCTACAATGCCACTAACTGGTTATATCTTTTACATTTTAGGACGACATCTCCCAGGTGGCTGGTCAGGGCTTGGTGGCAGGTCACCAGAAGGCACTGGAGTGCCCAACTGACAATGTACGTAATTTCCCCTTTAGGTTTTGCTCAACTGGGATGGTGTGCATTATAAATGGGTTCCAGAAGAAAAGGAAGTGATTGCAATGAAATCAGACTCTCTATTATTGCTGGGAGGTTATGGTGTGTCTTAGAATTTGAAGTCAACCCACAGCCATATCATTGATTCTGTGCAAGGTGTGTGGAAATATTCTCTGTGCATCTTCCTGGGCCAATACGCTGAGCAGGTGTTTAAAAGTGAACCGTCCCTACAAACACACCTGCACTTAAATTCCAAGAGTGCCATGTCTTACTTAATGTCGTTAATAAAAAATCTTAAGTGGGAGAATTTGTAGTTCTGTAAAAGTATAAATACAGTAACTTTGGTGTTTCTTACAGTTTGAGCTCACTTCTCTTAAACTATAAATTTCTGTCTGTCAAGTTTTTGTACTTCTGTTGCTGTTGAGTTTTTTCTTTTTAAAATCTTGATTCTCATTTCTTTGTGCTAGTTGATACCTTCATGCTACTAAAATTTACATTATTACTGTATTAGCTATTTTTATGTTTAAGGAACTAGAGCTTACATGATATTTCAAACACTGCCAAAGAAAATGCCTTTGAAAAGTCTCCAAACTTATATGCTAAAAACCGAAATAAAAATGATTAGGTATACGGGTGCCTGGGTGGCTCAGTCAGTTGAGCATCCAGCTCTTGATTTTGGCTCAGGTCATGATCCCAGGTTTGTGGAATCGAGCCCTCCATCGGGCTCCACACTCAGCAGGGAGTCTGCTTGAGACTCTCCCTCACCCCCTGCTCACTCACGTGCTCTCTCTCTAAAATAATTTTTTTTTTTTTAAAAATGAGTAGGTGTAGGGGTGCCTGGCTGGCTCAGTTGGTAGAAGATGCAACTCTTCATCTAAGGGTTTTGAGTTTGAGCCCCATGTTGGTGTAGAGATTAGTTAAAAATAAAATCTTAAAAAAAAAAAAACTTCAGGGGCGCCTAGGTGGCTCAGTCAGTTAAGCATCTGCCTTCAGCTCAGGTCATGATCCCAGGGTCCTGGGATCGAGCCCCACATCAGGCTCCCTG